AGAGAGAGAGAGAGAGAGAGAGAGAGAGAGAGAGCGAGCTTAAAGTTAATAATATTTCAAATAAATGAGTAAATATTTACTCTAAGAGTGTCTTAAAGACATCGCAGGTTTGGAATGGATCTAAGTGTTGGTGGCGGCGGTTAATCAGATCCATTCCTCCGGGGAGTGAAAGTGATGAGTTGTCTGTCATTCGCGCCACTCGTTTCATGAGATGAATCAATGGAAATGAAGGCAATTGTTTATAATTTGTTAATTATTTAAATTGTTTTTTTTGTAAAATTAATAATTATAGCAAATATGTTATAAATTAAATAAAGAGTTAATTAAAAAGTTTGTTAAACTTTGGCAAACATTGATGTATTTGTCGGACGTATTAATTGTAAGAATTGGCAAACATTTCAATCACTTTTTATTATACGAAACGATCCCTAAAAAGACAATTCTGTCGCATATTTTGCCGCTATTTATATCATCCATTGTTTACGACACTCTTCGGGACCAATTGGTGATCATGTCTGGCATTTCTATAGCACGACTCGCGGAGGAACGGAAGGCGTGGCGAAAGAATCACCCGTTTGTGAGTTGCCATCAATTGCTGCCATTATTTGCCACCAATTAATCCATTATCTAATTGTTGTTTTCGGTTAACCATTGATCAGGGATTCATTGCGCGACCGGTGAAGAATGCGGACGACACTCTCAATCTGAAGGACTGGGAGTGCGCTATTCCCGGCAAAACAGGGGTAACACTCTTAACACTCACCATTTGTCACTTATGGGAACTAATGTAATGATAATGACGTGTAATGTCAGACTCCATGGGAAGGCGGACTCTTTAAGCTCCGGATGCTATTTAAGGACGACTACCCGTCGACTCCGCCGAAGTGTAAGTTCGAACCGCCGCTCTTCCACCCAAACGTCTACCCCTCGGGAACCGTCTGTCTATCACTGCTGGACGAGGATAAGGATTGGCGTCCGGCCATCACTATTAAACAGATCTTAGTCGGCATTCAAGATCTGCTGAATGAGCCCAACATCAAAGACCCGGCACAGGCCGAGGCCTACACCATCTACTGGTATATGATTTACGGACAAATTGATTGAATAAAACTCTATAATAAATGCTTTTCCTTTTTATGAATTGATTTGCAGTCAAAACCGTTTGGAGTACGAGAAGCGTGTGAAGGCTCAGGCGAAGTCTATGACTCCCAGCGAGTGATCACTGAATGGTCACCAATTATTCGCATTAATCTGTTTTCTATTTTTGCAAAATATATTTTTGATTTTTTTTCTCTCACTTATAAGTCATTTCATACTTATTGTCTATTTTCTTAAGATTGGCAATAGTTTCAGTTAATTGTCTAAAAATAATAGTAAATCACTTTTTCATCACAGCTTTTCTTATATTTCCAATTTGTTGTCACTCTTT